AATTACGAACGTTTAGGGGAGGTGAATGGACAATTTGCTAGATCATGGACTAGCAGCGGAAAAGGTCAGATTGTGACTTGGCCCGCCGTCCCACTTGAAGAGATAGCGTTTGTCGTTCCTGTTGGCTCTTTCCGAGGCCGACGCTCCGCGGGTCACAGGTGAGACGATTTTTTTGCGGGTCTTCTAATTATATTTATATAAATGTGTAATTTGAAAGAAAATACATTTTGAAAGGAAAAGGGATAGATAGTTGAAATTCGTGGCGTTTCCGAAGCAAATGAGTTCACCACCATATTCTGTCAACGTTGCCGATGTTAATTCGAAAGATGAAAGAACTTACGTTTTTTATCTGGAGACTCCTTGCTGTGTGTATGTGTGGGTTTTTTTAAAAATTATTATTCTCTTTAACGAGCATTAACTTCTAGAGTAAGATGTGATCAGTTACAGTTCAGCTTTCTCCACTTGACTTTATATTGTTAAAACAAAACCATGTACAAAATGGTTAATTGACTTTTGAGGAAAAAAAGCGGTACAACCTATACTAGTACGTTATTGGTATATTTTCAACAATCAACACATGAGCCACGTTAAAAAAATAGAACAGCAGTCGTTGTGTCAGACGGTTCTGCCTCCCCGCCACAAAAGGCGTATTCGTCTGCATTTAAGTTTGTGAAAAATCGCAGTTTCCATCTACGAACAGATAATGTTTTAATGACATGCTTTTTACTCTTAATAAAGACGTTGGAAAAATTACTATTTACTCCTCACAGCGTTGATACGAGCAAAACTTCCGTTCTATACTTCGCGAAAATTTCCGTGAAATTATTTATTCATTTATTTATTATAATACTGAGCAATTTTTTTTCATTTGTGTATCATAACATGTTTCAGACATTAATAAGCACGTTTTTAAATCTCGCCGCCTTAAACATACACTTTAACTTTTCTACGCAACACTGTGTCACGATTACCGATTTAATCCAGGGTCACAGACTTACATATACACTGTATATTAGGAGTACATGTTAGTCTCTAGATTTTTGCAGTTAGAGCGAGAAAACAGGAAACTCTTTCTGCCACCACATCTTCATGGATGTATGAACAGGATCTGAAGCATTGAGTTACGTGTTGTCTAGCGGACGCCATTTTGTTACATCACTCTGTTTAAAATGGACTTCTGTCATAAAAATATGTCCAGTAATGTTAAGCTGAACATTGCGAGTGACGTTCTCTATCTTTTATGAAGCGCATTTTAACGCGCACTTATTACAAACAACTAATACCTTTGTTTGAAAAATTGTGCAAGATTATGCAAAGATCACTCGAGTAAAATGGTCATTTGTAGTGTCCTTCACATTTCATTACTTTGGTCAACGTTAGTTTCATATATACATATAGTGTCTTTGTGCAGGGTACATCATCGGTAACAATTTTGCTTTCAACATTTATCAACCCATCTCGGAAGTTCCATTATTCATTTTTCTCTGTAACTAATATTCTAATAGAAGTCATTTATAGAGAATTTTAGCGCGTACTTATTACACTCAACTAATACTTTTGTGCGATGGACATTTGTTGCACGACCCTTGGAGATCTATCCATACATTATTTGCCAAAAACAATAACATCTGTCTTTACCACTTGGTCCTTCTTCAGCTCACAATATTTAGTATTCATCTTTTTTCCGACGCAACACCTCCTTGCCTACGATAAGGCGGTTAAATGACACTTCTTCGTGCTTCATTCACAACACGCTTATTGTTTAATGACCCTCGGGTGCATGGGGACGGGCATGTTAGATGTCTTCTACCTTTAATTGGTACACTCACGGCTCTACGAACCACGCTAACAACTTTAACCAGCACTGTCGCATTTTTTTTTCTTTTGCGCTTTAGCTTGTGTATTCTTATCTTTAAGGTTCCATGCGGTGCTTTTCTCTTTAATTATCAATTGTTACCGAGTAATTTTACCGGTTGGGGAGAGCAGACGACAAAGTTCGGATAAAATCCATACCATGCCCACCATTTTCGCGCCCAAGAAAGTATGAAAACGTTTCGGACATTTTGATGTATTACTGGATTTCTTATTTCTTACTAAGTGAAACGTTCAGTGGATTTTCCCTTGATCTTTTTAAAAGCTTGAACACAACATTCAAGTTTCTTCTTCGTTTTTTTTTTATTACAGCTTCAAAATTCAACTAATACTTTAATCGATTGGTTAGAAGTTTCATATATTTTTAAAAATTTCGGTTTGAATCATATTACTGTATTACAGTCGGAATAGGTCCTTTAACATCGTGATTAAGATCTTCTCCCTAGATAGCCTCCCCAGTGATAGGGTCATTTTTACCCGATGATTTGAATTTTACGGCCATTTATATGTCATTCTTTGGGCGGGTGGCAATAACTCTCCCCACAGTTTTCAAAGTATTGCAGGAAACCCTATTAAGTCTTTTTAAAATCGTCTCTTTATTATTTTTGTCTCATTTTAAAATACATGTATCTACCTAAACGACATTAAGCAGGAAAATCTCTTTTTGATCTGCTCACATTTCGGAATGCTAGTGTTTCACGCAGAGTAGATCATCGTGGGGATTTGTCAGTATCTTCTTCCTTTCATGTACTGTATATTCTGACACGTTTAGATGTTTGATTCTACCCTTGTTATTCTGCTGCCTTATTGAGGTATGTATCATCAGTATCTTGTTTACTTCTCCGCGTTTGCTGATTTAACTTTACTAGTAACAGGTTCAGTTTAGCAATAGCGAGTCAGTTGAGTTGAAATTACTGAAAGTTTTGCTTACATTTTTCACTTTTCGTTGTCTTTTTTATTCATGATTTGCCATTTTTAAAGACATTCGTATGTCTCCGTAGTTAGTATCACCCTATATGAAATAGTTTCCTGGACTGACGTTGTTTTGAATCCAAATATTCCAAATGTCTTTCTAGAAAATTTGTTCGCAGGTTTAGTTGCACCTTTTTAATGAAAATGACTTCCGTCTGTTCAGATATTCCATTCTTACGCAAACTGAAAATGCGGAGTAGTAGGCTTACATGCGAAATCCCATTCTACCTAAATAAGTAGAAAAATATGTGGTCTTAAAACATTAAATCATGTTGTGCTTTGGGCTTGGTAGTTAATAGGAGAATCGGTGGTAAGTAAAAAAAAAATGGTTGGGCACAATTTATTTTTAAGCTTTAAGAACATTTTCTAGGCAAAAAAAAAACAATGTAAAAAACAATGGCACTGCCCATTTCATGTACTGTTATGCTAATACCATTAATAGATATATTTGAAGAAGAGGAAGATGCTTTTTGTTGAACTGTTTGCATTGGTTTGAAGTAATATGTTGCATGCCATGGGGGGGGGGGCGAGTAACAGGCACAGGTCTGTGTTTTTGAAAAGATTCATGTATTGGGGCATGTAAAAATGGTCCTAATATGTATGAAGTTAGTTGCAGTGCTGCTTTCATAGTCACTTTTGTTATATAAATTGGCAGTTTGAGAGATAATACGTGCTAGATGGGGTCAAAAATTGATACATTGTCTGTGTGTCCACCACATAATCGACTTGTCTGTTCATTTAACTATGTAGAAAACAATTTTGGTCTCATCAAACCTCATTGCAGCTCGAATTACCATGAGTTTAAACGCTGGCAGGGCCAATCCAACTCTGTCAATCATCGTACCGCCCGGCCATTACACTTGCTAGGCCGAGACTTGCGGAGAATATTATGAATAAACATTGGCAGGGGAAATGTCGTAAAGTCGATTTCAGCTTTAAATTTAGAATAGAAGTTTGGTGAACTGTTGTATCTTCTTTGCCATGAAGCATTAAAAGGTCTGGTATTTGCTTAATATATTTATATATAGAATAAGGGTACATGTATGTTTTTAAGGACAGTTTGCGGTTTAAGGTTAGTCAGCTATATGCTCTTTTAAAACAATAGATGTCCTCAGATTTGGACAATGTCACTATATGCGTATACTAACCTACAAACTATTCCGAGATCATATCTTGCAAGAAAATAAATACATTTTTGCACTCTCACTTAAATCATAAACTATCATATTTAAGGATATCTCTTCGCTTTTAAGAAGCAAAGTATTCACGCACAACTCACGTGTCCGTTTGTGCTTTTAGAAAAAGCTGGTTGATAAGTCACTAGATAAACTATAGAGATTTTATGGACTAAAACATTGATCAAAAATATCAGATAAACTTACAAAGATCACTTTGTGTTTATTTTCTTGATCGTTAACACCATTTCTTAAACAACATGGTTTTGATTTATGATTGAGACTAAAATGACGATTTCTTTGAATTCCTTGTCTCTTGTACCATGTCCTTACTATGACAGAGAAGTTTCAGACTGATCAACCTAACTCCCTGGGGGTTCACGCTAAATTGCTGTCAGCTTCCGGGAGCCTAGCGCGCACAAAAGTTAATTACCCTTTACAGCTTTTAGTAGGCGAGACAGACATTTAAGCCGGCTAAGCTGACAGCAATCTAGTGAGACTCCCCAGGGAGATAGATCGATCTAAATATCTGTGGGAATGGTCTCTTAGTAGCAGTCCGATGAATGCACACATGTTTTTACTCGTGATATTAGTACATGGTCATGTTTTACCATAATAATTGACATGGCCCTTTCTGTACAGTTGAATAAATTTGGTCGTTTTTGTGAAAGAAGAAATACAAAAGGAAAAAGACGAAAACTGTTTTTATTATTCACCACTTGCATTGTATTGTTACTCAGGAAAATGGAAAAGACGTAATAGAAACAGCACGAGATGCGTATTTAAATGTGTATGTTTAATACAGACACACAAAACTGTTTTAAAACATTTTATTCTTTTTTCAAGTAAGAATTTTTACCATATTTAAAGTATCTCTTCTAATTTTTGAAAGAAAAAATTAATAAAACGCAACAGCGCCAAGTTAAAAACCTGGATATCCATTGGACATATCATATTTTCTAAATATTTTGTCTATTTCAGTTTAACATTGTCTCCAGCATGGCGAAGAGGATGTGCCTCCTGGTCGTAGGTGTGCTGCTATTGGCTGGATCCAGTCACGTGTCAGGTTTTCAGGGGAACAAGATCGTCGCCTCCCTCGATATTGTACCGAGAGAGACGATTCCAGTCGTGCCATCAGATTCTATTCAACTGGATGGACCTGTTACAGTGAATGCATTATCTTCTGCCTCCTATTACCAGTCTTTATCGGATCCAAAGAGACTCCCTAGAACCAGGTAGGTTACATACGTGTACAAAACTTTCTTCATCCAAAGGCGGACACACGGGCACAAGGAGCAAAAGTAACTTACTTCAGACCCACTTCAATACTTGGAAATGAAGAATTGCCGAGCAAACCAAAGTACATATTCACAACCTTGTGCTCTTTCCTACCCTTTTACACCTTAGCTTGTTTTTATTTTTTGTTTGTCAAAGTCACCTTCAAATGTGCAATATATAAATCACAGATATACTAGCAGATGCGTTTTGGTACAATACGACTAAAATGAAAGAGACACATAATGAAGTCTACTATAGTTTATTAGTTTTTTCTTGTCTTGCTGCATCAGTCCAATATTTCAACCCGTTTCTTCTCTTCAGATGTGACCGCGTCAATGAGTACGACACCAAGTCTCAGGCCTGTTGTGGACAATCCACCACCCTTCCCAACGGCGTCAGGTGTTGTCAAGGCAACGTATACAACAAGGCAGCCCAGTTCTGCTATCGAGGCGTGGTCCACTACTATTTGGACTTCAATCCGATTCAACAACCACGTCCCAAATGTGGCCAGTATTACTATCACTACCAAGATCAGGCCTGTTGCGCCGGCAAGATCTATATCCCAGCCAGCCAGGGGTGTTGCAACAACGTGGTCTTTACCTACGCGACACAGATGTGCGTCGGCGGACAAGTGCGAGAACATAATTCCTACGCCCCATGTCCAGGATTCCACACCGATCACCCGTCGCAATACGGTTGCTGCAATGGCGTCTCTTACTTGTACAGCACGAAGGGATGTTGCCAAGGCAACGTGTACGACCTTGACGTGAGCAAGTGCACCAAGGACACACTGACTGTTCATAGGGACGGAAAAAAGCGCTGCGGCGGGCAGGTTTATATCCAGCACAACCTCAGCTGCTGCCGAGGGCTGCTCTACGATCACAACAAACAGACTTGCTGCGAGGGGCGCGTCCTCAATGCGACCACCATGTACTGCCAAGATGGCCGCGGGCTCAGATATGACAAAATGGTGCTCTGTGGCGCGATGCAGTACGACCCCACGCGCTTCGGCTGTTGTCATGGTGATCCCTTTGATCCTCGTCACCAAGGCTGCTGCGCCTATACTGTGTTTTGGAAGAACCAGTACACGTGTACCAATGGTTACCTGTACCCCGTGGCCGCTGATCCGGTCGGATCCGGAAACCAGATGCCATATTGTGATGACGAAGCGTTTGATCCTTCCAAGGGCAAAAGATGCTGTGGCAAGCTGACGTATAAAACCGGGTTTGAAAGCTGCTGTGGCCAGAATCCCTACTTCAGAGCACGACAGGTCTGCTGTGAGAGCGATAACGGCCAGTATTTCAGAAGATCCAGAATGGTCGGTTGCAGAAGTTTTTAACTTTTTAACTACCCGCTGAAGCAGTTTTTACTTTTGTGAAAAATTGTTACTTTCAGGCCACTCTTTAAGTGCTTCGGAAAATTTGAACGGCGGGTACACTTAACAGATATTTTTTTTAAAAATTAGACACCATGAATATTTTTGTTTCTCGTACTTTTAGCCTAAAAATTAAGTGTTAATAGTGACTCATCGTAACGTCACCTCAATTTATTTTTTGAGCACGTCGTAACGTCACCTCAATTTATTTTGTGAGCACGTCGTAACGTCACCTCAATTTATTTTTGGTCTGAACTTAAAGCACCCCGCTTGTGTCCTGTTATGATCACTTTTGGTTCTTTTTTAAGGTCACTCGCACATAAGGATACAAAGTAAGTCACTTTGTAGATGCCATCCTCTTCACATGAAAATATTTTAAAGATGATTGCAAGTAAATGTACACAAAATTTTGATTGACGTTTACACTATAACTATTATTTATCTACCTTCAATCTTTTTGTCGCTCTTCTCAAGAATTAACCTGAATCAAAGTAATCTAGTGAAGACACATATAAAATAAAGTAGCTTAAAATATCAGCATTTTAAGTTGTAGTCAAATACACGTTCACTAATTTTTATAGTGAACACAATACTGAAAATTATCATATACGTTTACTCTATCTGACCACCACCGTCCTATTCAATAATTTTCTAAAAAAAAAACTAAATCTATTGTTTCTTTGTATCTAATTTCTTCCTCATTTGCTTCCATCTCTGCTGACTATTTTAGTTTATGTAAAAGAAAACAGATGTAATAAAGACCATAGTAGCAGGCCACAGTGCTGTATACCCCCTAGAACGGAATAACCTGCAATAGGGTCAAATGAACCTAGGCTAGATTATGCTGGGGGTCTCAAAAGGTTACTAATTTCTAAGTTCAATAAATTCAACAGTTTTCAAGCTATTGCAATGGAATTTAAGAGATGTTAGGAGAGTTCTGGATAAATGCTGAAAATTTCATGACTCTACCTCTCTTAGTTTTGGCACACCGAAAAAATTAAAGTAAAATAAAAATGTCAACCCGGCCTATGTCAGTTCTGACAGTTGATTTCAAGATAGAAACTGTTTCACTCTCAGACTTGAAGTTTTCACGGTTGACCAATAATAATGTATCAAAAATCTGTGCAAAAATTTCAATTCCAAAGCTTGTGAACTGTTGAAGATATTGAACTTTGAGATTAGTAACATTTTTTTTTTTTAGCTACCCGATACACAGCCCCGTGCCCCTCTGATATACATTAATTTTCGATATCTCGTTTGAGACTGACTATAACGTCTTATGGGTAGCGGTATTATCTGGCGTGGAGGGGTATAGTTTGTGGTAGGACGGTTTATCACCCGGGGTATTCTCTGGCTTGGCCCGAACTGGATTTAATCCCAGCACGGGCTCATTTGGCCTGCTACACTGGTATTAAGAGGAAGGGGAGAGGAAAAGAGAGAAGTGTGGTGTGGTGTGACTAAGGATATGTCGGAACCACGTAGTGCCATACTTGAAAATGAGTTCTGTAGTAGAATTATGCTTTGTATAATGATTATTTGTTAGTTGTTGAAGAAGATTGGCAAAAGCCTGAGAGAACAAGTGTGAACAGGGAAATTTACGTCACTCGGTTAAAACTTAAAGAGGTCAAGCCACACGGCTCATTTTTTTTTATCTACCTGTGAAAATTGATGCTTGAGGAATTTGTCTTGGCAGTAATTCACTTATAACACGCGAATGTGTGTGCCAAATAACCCAACTGACTCCATTTTTAATCTGCGCGTGAAATTGCTAATCAGTTTATACATACACTATTATATCAACCTCTGAGTAGTTGGACTTCAAAATATCCTATATTTTGCAGAATCGGTTTCAGCTTCATTTTGTATCATCTAAATGGCAGATTTTTCCACATTTGTTTTGAAAAGAGAGTTCTGGACTGACATAAACATGAACACCCATTCATTAACTCATAGAAAAGGCAGTCGAGTTGTCGAGGGACTGAAACACAGGATGGAGAAGGTCTTTTTATTCCCAATTTATATTATCATATTTATTATATACAAGCTATGCGTCAGCGTAGTTATATGCATATTGTACTTAGAGCAAAATAATGCGTGGTAACGTGATGGTGAGGGGGAAAGATATTCTGTATGAATTTTGGTCATGAAATAAAAACTGGGTAAAACAAAGGCGCCTTTTGAATTGCTTTCTTTTGCACGTGTTATACATGCACTAGTTAATGCAGATGACATGAATGTGTGGTCTAAAAATACGCGGAAACTTACTGACTGATTTGAGAATACTTCTGATCAGAGCTTTAGTGCAAAAACTCTATCGTTCACTACGATCATCAAGTCTCATATCCTGTTTTCATTCCTACGAAGTGTACGATTACGAGTGATCTGTTTTGGTTCGAATCAAATCATTGGCATTTGGAAATGAACAAGAGCACGCGGGTCTCTCTTAACTCTCCTGAGTAAACGCGGCAAAAGACGTTCGCACACTCACGCGCGCGCACACACACACACACACACACACACACACACACTCACATAAACAGGAGCTCAGGCTAGTTGTATTTATGATAATATGTTTATTTAATGTTAATCTCTAAAAAAAAACATGCACTTTGCTAGAGTAGCTATAGATTTTAGTAGTTTTCAGTTTTAAGTGACGCTTACGTTTCAAATTTCTCTTGCTCGAAGAGGGTGGAAGTTTTGCTAAATTTACATTACATAAATAAGAGAGGGTCGCTTTCAGTTGCAGCATGTTCAGGTACTTAATAATAATAATAATAATAATAATAATAATAATAATAATAATGCTTATTTGAAGCTGAAATAGTTGGATTATACAATAATATAAATCGTTAAATTCACGAAATAAGAATAAGATAAATAATTAAATTGTAAAGGAAAAGTGCTAACATGAAAGAAAGCATTTGGTACTCCGAGGATATTTAAAAAATACATTAAGATTAAGATTCATTTAAAAACACATTAAAAGTAAGGTAAAAGAAAAGTGCGGTGACGGAATGGCATCTTATAACAGACGCAGGTCTGATGGGTGTGGTCCACCGGTGAGATTCACAGTAAATTGGTGGTCGGGTGGTGGTTTTGCCACGACCCCAGCAACCTGGGAGGAAGACTAATATGGAGATATTTTCTTAATACCAATCACTGCCTCTCCCCGAGGGTCAAGTTAAACTGGAAATGTGACTTAAACGCATCACCAGTTTAACTTGACCCTCGGGGGAAAGGCACTGATTGGTATTAAGAGAATATCTCCATATTGATCTCCCGCCCAGGTTGCTGGGGTGTTGAAAAGTGCATGACGGAGGTCCATCTTTGCTGGTATCTCGAGCACCTGGTCAGGGTAGAAGTACACAGGGCGTGCATAAAGTAAACTTAGACCGGCGTCTTTTACATGACCAGTTTCGACAAATAACTTAATGGACTTTGTGCTAGTAACTCCATTTCTCCATAGATCGTGATTTGGGTTTTTAATACATCCCTTGTGACCATTCAATTATCTCATACCTGAAATGAAGGAATTGATTGAAGAATTCCGTTCTTCTGTCAAATGAATCCATGATTTTATTTTAAGTCAGGTATAAATAAACGCAACCTAAACTTTCAAACCAAAAAATTTGCTGTCTTTTTACCCAGAAAGATCAGTAATAATCCATTTATTGATGATGTACAGACTGTGTTACAAAATGTTGTTGATCGATTCAGATCAATAGATATTTTTTCAACTATAGGCCTACTACAAATGAATTAACCGAATCAAAGTAAGCTACTTTTTGCATTGATGCCTTTGGGAACTCAAACTAATTTAATCCAGAATTGCACAAAGATAATAAGTATTTTACCATGGGAAAAAGAATGCACGTAGAATTTAACTTTTCGATTAGAATAGTTTTGTACCCCCAAAACCCTACAAAGTGTAGAGATTTTTCTTACAGTTTTTTATTCTTTTTTAATCTATTGTATTTATTTATTTATTTATTTATTAATTTTTAGACTTTAAGATGCTTTAAGATGTCTTTACTCGGCAAGACTCGTGTCAGCTCTAGCTTCTGTTAACACCAGTGGATGTAATTATACTTTTAAATTGTAGCCATTAAGACTGTGAAAGTGACAATACTTTTCCACAGGACAAGAATTTGAGCCAATAACGTTGAGAAAAAAAGAGCGATTGCAAATGACACAAAAATTATTTATGGCTTTTGCTCTAACCAAACAAGACGAGGTTTGCAATAATCTAACCTCGTTAAAGTTTTCAATCTTTTCATCTTTGTCTGTAAATTATTCAGATTATGTATCTAAAGGATTGTTGTGGCCAAACAAGACGAGGTTTGTAATAATCTAACCTCGTTAAAATTTTCAACCTTTTCATCTTTGTCTGAAAATTATTCAGTTTGTGTATCTAAAGGCTATCAAGATATGGAGCTCATTAACACATAGTTATTTCGATCATGTAAACATTCTTGTCTATCATGTTAATTAATCATAAAACAGCATTTTTACACGCGTTAAATACATTAAAAGTTCTCAAGAGTTAAGATTAAGTGATGCCGTTTCAATAATGCAGCATTCAGTTCATTTTGATTTTTTCTGTTATGAACACGCAAGTTTAAAATTAACGTTCATCACTTAAAACTAAAAACTGATAAGTGCATGCCCCTAATATGTTTTTTTGGAGATTTTGCAAAAAAATGTCTCACAACGACGCTTAGCGCGATATGAATGAAAAAAAATTATATGGCGAGACGATCATTCATTATCATTACTGCAGTTGTATTTTCTCGTTTGCGACCGATCTATCAACTGGCTGACGAATTAATTATGGTTAATTAGGCTAGTACATGGAGAATCCCATGAATTTGTTATAAAATCTAGCTTATGTTGTTTTTGTAACCTTTGCCTGTAGTAGCGGATTTAGGGGAGTGTCAGAGGGTCCTGACCCCCCCTCCCTTTGATTTCTCAAGAGTCCACACCCTAATGCCCTGGTACAGCTATATCAAGCTCTTCGGGATGATTGGGACACAAGGGCGGATCCAGCATTATTTGAAGGGGGGTCCGTGGATGCGAAGTCGACCCCCCCCCCCTCCCCTTGGCGTGGGGTTCGGGGCCCGGTGAGTGCGAACGATGCCAATTTGGTACGGTTTAGAAATACCAGTATGATATAGCTGGTCAAAATTCTTATTTCAAGAGGGGACCATTAGTGTGATTTTTTTCAGAAATCGAAGGAGGGTTCAGGACCCCCCCCCTCCCCGACACCCCCCTAAATCCGCCACTGGGACAATATCCCACAAAACAGACTTGTAATCCTTGGTAGAGGCATGCCGCGCCGCCTACAGGAGATATTTGCAGTATGCCGTAGACACACACGATAATCGACACAAGAGAACCTTGATACAATACAAATATAGACCAATTTTTTAAAACTATTTTGCTCATTTTTAATATGTGTGTTTTATCCGTGCAAAGACAGTTTAAGTATTAATTCTGTAGAGTTTACTTATGGAAAATTACCTATGGAAGTATCATACAAGACAATTCAATAAACCTGTGAAACTTAAACGTTTTTTTTAAGTGTCCGTCTATGTTTTAAGGAGAAAAAAACGAAGAAAAAAAGAAATACCAATAACCATATGTTTATAACAGTTTATGCTGTACCGTAAGGTTGAATGAAAATCCTGTCTTTTCTATCACAATCCCCCCTAGTTTGTTCATGCGACCTACAGGTATGACAA